GTATTTTTTAAAATGGACACACTGTTCTACTGTTGGTCACTCACTGATGAGCTGTTGAATCAGAAAATGATGACAGGACCTATACCACAGGGGGGCTGCGGGTCAAAGTCATGTCTTAAATTCAGTGTAACAAATATTAGTGCTTTTAGTGTTCAGGCATATCACTGCCAAAGGTCAACAAGAAAATGTTCTAATGAGGAATTAGTACTTTGTGTTATTAGTTCTGTTTGTGGTTAGGTTTTAGGTTTCAACCTCGTGCTCTTCTAGCAAGCCTGTTATGTACCTTAAAGTTTACAGATAAGTGGCTTCAGAAGAGAACTTGTGATGTTTAGAGCCACTGTGAGGAAGTGAAGATGAACTTTGAATAAATTTGACATGAAAGTGATCATTTTGAGGTGTGTGTGGGTGTGTGTGTGTGTGTTCCAGGTGATCCAATACAGGAACGACTTAATGCATTCTTGTGAGTTGCGTATGAAAGACGAGTGGATGAGACGTTACCAGACAACTCTGAAACACTTTGTGCGGCAGTTCAGCCACGTACCACAGATGGCAACAGTTGGAAAAGAAATTGATGAGGTGAGTGTGTATGTGTGCATGTTGTTGCTGTTAAAATATATGTCCAGTGTTGAGAACCACTCTGTCACATTACTGTTATTTTGCCTCACAGCTTGTTTGCATGTTTTGAACAGATGCTGACTGTCGATTTGTCTGTATGTGTCTCTGGTTTGGACCAAATGGACGCTGCTACTGCACAGGGTCTAGAGTGTGATTCTTTCGGCCAATCGAGGGCCATCGTTGACTTAGTGAGCCAATGGGAAACTGAGTTGCTCCAAGAGAAGCTGCAGGAGTTACTGCATACTGATGACGATGAGGATGCTGAGACACGGGTGCGTAAAACAAACAACACATGTCCATATACACTTTCGCTGTGAGTTAAACTAAGACATAAACAGATGAAAATAAATATGGCATGTCATTTGAACTGTTTCTTCATTAGGACACTGAGCAGCTGAAGAGGCTTGGTGGTTTCCTGCAAGCGAACAGAGATTTGGGGGAGAGGTTTTCTGCAGAGCTTCAGGCCATCGACTCACTACAGGCCAGATGAATGAGAAAAGACGAACAAGGAGCAAATTGAACACTATGTATTTTATTTGTATTTGAATTTAAGTTGAAGATTTGTCACAGTGTATGTACATGCATATAATATTTTATTAAAAATGTAAATGATTTTCAGTGTTTTTCTTAACTGATGATTGATCAAAACTGAAACACCTTTACAGCTTCATAATAATGTCTTATTGTCAAAGCAAGGTTATACAGTAATAGTGACCAAAAGAAAAGTGTTTAGCTTATATTTTATTACACTTCTACCTTTACCTCTTACAATACAATTTTCACAAACAAGTAAACGGTTTCTTCTTTACTGAGTGAGTGGAAAAAGCAAATTACACTTATATATTAACCTTAAAATAAACAATGAACAATAAATACCTCTTAGAGCAATAAGCCCCCTATGCTCGTGTACAGAGATATTTTGAATCCTTTGTTATCATCTCACGTTTCTATATAATTTTTTTAGCTCAACAGAGTTTGTCACCTGCACACCACATCCTGGTGGGGTGACATCTACTGCCATCAGAGTGAGACTGTCTTATGTGTAAAATGTACATGAATTCCCACGAAAGAATGTGACAAACAAATGTTTACACACAGGCTTTTAGAAAGCAAACTAGTGTGGTGTGTGTAGTAGAACATGAGAGAAATAAGTAGATTTCTCTTTTTTGTGATGTGCCAAGGTCCTCAAGTAAATATCTTTTCATTAGAGAACGTTTTATTTAGGTCACAGTGCACAGCGTGAGCTGCAAGTTTCATGACATAAAAGTGTGAAAACCAAAGATGCTTTTCCTGCTTCTTCTCCTTACAGACCCTCATCTGCTGCATCGGCACTCATTCTACACTCACACGAGTGCTGGCCTCAGAGGCGACATGGAGCACGAGGGGGAGCTGGTCCGGTCCATTTACTTTGGGAGAATTGGGAGTGAGACCACGGAGAGGCTGCTGGAGAGGTTTGGACATGATGGCAGCTTTCTGCTGAGAGACAGCGACACCATGCAGGGGGCCTACTGTCTTTGTGTGAGGTGAGATGTGAGGTGGTGGTGCCAATAACACCTTATTTTTTGTAGGATATACACGAGGGTTTGTAGGATAGTTTTTAATTTAAACAGTTTATTCCAACCATTTAGTTCTTTGCGAAAGTTCCTGGGACTAAAGGATTTTAGTCGAATATTAACTAAACATTCCCAAATTATTCTCACTGCGTATTATTCTCATGTTTGTGTGTGTAGCCCTCCTGGGCATGTAGGGTGTGTAGCGAGTGGAAGACGTTGATCCTGGCGCACCACAGACAGCCAAATGTCACCGTGCACTGGGATAACTGTTCCCCTCCCTCCTGGGGAACAGACTTCTGGGAAGTGGCCAAGGTATCAATATTAAGAGTAGTAATTTCAAAACAGCATATTACTATATTTACTTAGGGCTGCAGCCTACACACACACACACACACACACACACACACACACACACA